TACGCCTCAAGTGAATCAACATTGCCCAAGAGTTGAAGTTTTGCCCATTTAAAGCAATTTTGTATCTTGAAAGGAGTACAGATTGTCTTGCAGTGGAGCGGATGAGCATGTTCCATGTTGAAAAGACACAATGCAAAATGAAAGAGAAACCATAAATGTCTGGATTTGCAATTGAACAAGTCAAGACATTGAAAAGCTGTTGTTTCGCCGGTGGAAAGTGAGTTTGTATCGAACAAAAAGAGAATTTATTAAGGCAAAAGTGTAGTAAACTGGAAAAGGTAAAGTTCACTTTCGCAAGTGTATCGATTCAACAACGATTAACGAACCGCAAATGGCTTAGAAAATATCGAACAGAAATTCACTTATTATGGTTAATTGGGGATTATATGAGTAGATATAACTGATATAACAAAATGTATGTATACTTGTACATATTTGGAAACATAAAAAAGGGATGTACTCCTTATACATCCATAGGTGAAGAACGGATGAAATTGAATCATATGTACTCTCAGTTATCAACATAAAATATTATTAGTGATTAATATCTTGAAAGTATAGAAATGCACTAAAAATAAAGAACTTTCCTACAATGTGATTTGTCATATTATTACATTGTTCGTCTAACAACCGCTTAATGTATTAAAATTGTAAAAACATACAAAAGAGGTGATGATATTTTGCAACATTAATGATGGTCTCATTCTTCGTTTAGAGGATATATCAGCATCTTAAAATGGGCAGTAAATACAGTGAAAATCCATTAGAAAATTAGAAAATTGATACACCATTAGAAAATCCGAGGTATGGTGTATCAATTAGTCCAGCAATTGTTATAGGCTCGAACTTTCTTAAAAACAGCCACAGTATAAACCAAACCATAAATCTTCCATTTTAATCGCTCTAGAGACATGAATGCTGATTTTTTTGACGTGAAGCTGAAGACGTGGTTCCATAAATCACACACCATGTCTTCTTTTGTTTTTGTTGAGCAAGAAATTTCTCTGAAGTGTGATATCACGTTTTGATGCAGTAAAGTCGCTACCAAGTTCATACGGTACGTTACCACTGGACTTTGTTGGTAGGTTTTCGCAAAAGATACGACAATACTTCTTCAATTTAAGTAATATTCATTGTGTTAAATGAAATGCCTAGTCGTTCTGCCAAATCTTTATCAGTAAATCGACAATCTACCAAGGATAGGTTAGGTTAGGTTATAGCATTTAGGATCCATTTAGGCCTATCGACCCATTGTGTTACCGTATAATGGAAAAAACTCAGTAGTTAAAACCACCTGGAACTTTTGGCAAGGCTTAAAATACTATTTAGTGGGAGGTCTTAAAGTTGATCAAAATTTTCCATTATAGTATTGACTATGTCTTATAATTTTGTGAAGATCTTGAAGGTTTATACAACCATTTCTAAGCAAACCAAATTACTTAGAAACCATTTTTTTTAAAGTGCAGATTCGTTTAATATATTTACCATTTTGGTAGAGACAGCTTAGAGACTGTCCGTCATTTGTTTTCTGTCTCGTTTTATTTACATTTTTCCTGAATATTTCTTATCTCTCATACCCAACGTAAGTATTTTATAGCATACAAATCATCCCAAATTACTGAATAAAATACAAATAAATTTATCAAACAATCATAGTATCTTTTATCGCCTTCGAAACAGGTTCAGTGGAGTTTTACTATTCCAGTGCTTAACTAACCCAATCCTCCATATATTGTTTGTAAGCTGTTTTAGGAAGAGTCATAAAATTTTCCAATTCATTTTCTTTCGACTACAATCAACTCTTACCAGCTTTCTCTAAATGAAAATGTTTGCTTAAAGAACAAATAGTTGTTTGGAACCATGTCAGGTGAGAACGGTGCCTTGTTGATCGTATTCGTTAATATTTCTTAAGTCCATTTTCTACTATAACTAGTTACTTAGTTAGTTACGATATACCCAATAACGGAGCAGTAAAACGGAAACTAATAGTTTATATTTTATAATATAGTGAGAAATCTGTGATATGTATTTGAATCATATCACTAATGTTTCCAAAAGCTTTTCATTCAATAAATTATATTTATTCCAAGTTGTGGTTGTAAAGTTAGAATACAATTAAGCCGATTACTTGCTAATTTATTATAATGTTATTATTTAATTCTAATTTATATTTTTTTATGTAACAAATGAAATATTATATAGATGTTAAAAGCAAAATGCGATAACTTTTAAACTAATAAAATTTTAACTTACCTAACGTTGCAGACTTCAAGTAAATGGTAATATATAAGAAATCCATTTCATCTCACTTTACTGTGATTTATAAACATGTTACTCATTAAAAAAACTTAAAGTTTGATTCTGTAATTAAAAATAAAAAATGTTCTTAATTGAAAAAGTGGTCATGGATATTAAGGGGTACAATCTGCAAACCGTGCAGAGATAAAAATCAGCCAACGACCTCACACAAATGCGATAAAATATTAGCAGGCAATAAATTACTTAGAAAAAGAAGGGCTAAACTGATTAAGGAGTCTAAAGAAAACAGAAAAACAAAATATTAAAGCAGAACATTTATTAAAGAGTTCGCAATTCAGAGTGTATGGATGCGCAGATTAAAGGACCGCAAAGGATCACTTTGACTCGTTTAATTTAGCGCATCATTTGTCGCTTGTCAACTTTAGAAAATTTATATGCTCGCCTCAAGGTTTGACTGTTCTGTTCTCTTTAGCTGCGACGACAGCTAAAGCTTAGATTTGTTAGGCTCTAATTTTTGTTTGTTATGAAAAAAGAACAGAAAAAACAACAACAAAAACAATCTGAAGGAATTACAAAAAACAAATTTAAATACAACAAATGAAATTCTTTTGCTTTCATACGATTTATGTCAATTGCATTATAAATTTTAATCTTAATACGAAAGTTTATAGCTGAAGTCGCATCCTTATCTCAGTCGGAAAGCAAGATTTATCGCTGAAATTACGTTTCCCATGTAGACACCAAGAGGCGAGCAATTCTGCATATGAGCTAACAATGGAAAGCCCTCATTCATATTGTTAGCATTACTCAGATGGGTATCAGACAGAGTACGGTAAGCACATGGACCTTGCCCAGTCGTAATATGAGAATTTTTTTCGCGTATTTATTGGCAGTAAATTGTTCGGTGCAAGAATTGCAACTGGCCGATGGTCGGCAATCAAGTGCAGTAACAACATTTACGTACGATATGTGTATTGTTGCAGGTGCATGTGTAATGGGCAAGGGGAAAATATATATAGTGAACTAAACAATGGCATAACTAGTGAAGGTGAAGGTACTCCAAGGTTGCAGTGAAAGTGTTTTGAAATTTCAATGCAGTTCGTTTGAACAATTACAGATAATGGCCGCAAAAAGCACAGTCATACATACAATATCTTTCAATTCGAGGGAGAAACTTAAGTCAAACAAAAAAATTTCAGAAATTTCAGCTAATATTATTATTTAATTTTATGCTTCATAAATAGTAAGGTGCTTTTACAAACATCTTAAAATAACATGGATTTTTTTTTATATTTTACACTATTTATTCATTGAAATGCAGATGATTTACTTAACAAATTAGTGTTAAGATGGTATTCAGAATCTATATCCATAAGGGATTTTTGTTAGCAAAAAATTTGTCTAAAAAATCACCTTCAAACTTTGTGAGTAGCACCGTTTTTCCCGAATGAGTTTTCTAACCCACTTCTGAGGAATCATATGCATGTTTTCTACTCAATAACTACTAAGGACAATCCTATATAAATCCTAAAAAGCAAATTTAAAATATATAAAAACTTTAGATTTTTTTAAAAGATATTACATCAAATATAACAACCTTTCTTTTTAAACTACTTAGGACTAAATATGATCAATTTTATGAATCTCCTCAGTTTATATCTTTAATTTTAAAATGTAAGATACATATTTTTGATATATTCAAATTTAAGAATATATAAGCAATTTTCAAGACTCAAAAAAGTATCACACTAAACCTAAAAATGTCTGTGATATTTTTTCAGATTTCCGATAAAGCGCTAAATTCAAATATAAGGGTAAAGCAGAATAAGAAATATTAGTTAGGCTTTAATACAACTCGATATGGTTCAGAAGACATTAAACAATATAAAAACAGATTCAACTTAGGTTTTCCTAAAGCCTTAATAGTTTCTTAAAATTATAAATATTGTAGCACCCAAATGCGATGTTAAAAATTTATCGTGGAGTATAAATGGTTAGTCCTTGAAGAAAAATATTTCATTTTTATTTTATTCACAAAATTTTACTATCATTTGCATCATAAGTTGACAAGTCATAAGTTTTATAGAATCAGTTTTATATATTTTGAATATAATATCTCTGAAATAGCCTCAATCGTTAATTAGTACAAAGAATCATACAGAAATTCCCAAAGATTCTAAAAGTAATTAAAAGTGTGACTTATTAAAGTAATTAAAGTATAAAGAAAATCTTAAAGGTACAATTTTTCATAAAACTGCATTTTCTTCCAGTGAATTTAATTGACCTTATTTCATGAAACATATGTCACTTCCTTTTTAAATAGAAAGTAAAGAAGGGAAATAAATTAAATGCAATTCGTTAATTAATGGGAAAAACGTTAGCATGAATTTCATACCATACGCAGATGTTCAGAAATTTAATAGTCATCCCTCATATACTTTATGTTGCTAATTCTAATTACTAACAACTGAAGTATCCTTCTCAGTAATTTTTTTCTTTAAGATTCTACCTACAATTCCTTTTAATTTTTAGGGACATCTTTTCCAAGCATTATCCCGCGCAAATTTTATACTAGTTTTTCTACCTACAATGACTTTTCTATCCTTGTTCTTTCCTGCAGTGATAAGATATTTCGTATTGTTTATTTTTTCTATAAATACTGTGCGTATTCTGACTATAATTCATTTACAGTTTAAGTTTCAAGAGACAAGTTTTATCTTCACTAAAATTATAAACTCAAAATGACTGGTCGTGGTAAAGGTGGTAAAGGTTTGGGAAAAGGTGGTGCTAAGCGTCATCGCAAAGTTCTTCGTGATAACATCCAAGGTATCACAAAACCAGCTATTAGACGTTTGGCTCGCCGTGGTGGAGTTAAGCGTATTTCTGGTTTGATTTACGAAGAAACTCGTGGTGTATTAAAGGTATTTCTGGAAAATGTGATCCGTGATGCAGTTACATATACAGAACATGCCAAAAGGAAGACTGTTACAGCCATGGATGTTGTATATGCTTTGAAGAGACAAGGTCGCACTCTCTACGGTTTCGGAGGTTAAATAAATAATATTAGTTTAAAAATGCAATACTGTTAATACTATATTGCTTAATGGTCCTTTTCAGGACCCCAATATGTGAACATTAAGAGATAAATTATTCATTTGACTTATGTTGCTGAAATTTTTGATTTCAAACAAAATACTTTAAGATGTTTTAAAGCAAATACATATATTTATCAATAAATCTATCGGTTGAAAAAAAAATGGGGAAGATATGTCCTATGACTGGCTTTGTAGTAATAAATGTATATTAATATTATAATTTTTTATTTTTTAAAAATATATTCATTTAAAATGATTTTTTGGTTATTTTTTAGCTGGCTATAGGTCACTTTGTTTTTCCAATAAAAATTAAAGAAACCTTTGATGCACTGTAGTATGGACAATAAAATAATTAATTTGACAATTAGATTAATGGAATGTGACATTATTAGTTTTTATTTTTATTAAAACATAATCCTGATGATGGCTTTCAAAGAGACTCGAAATATAGAATGGATTTTTTAATTTTTATTGGAGAAAAAAGTGACCTAAAGCCAGCTAAAAAATAAACAAAAAATCATTATAAAATAAATACAGGTCGAGAAACAAATTTAAAGAGAAAATAAAATCAAACAATTTATTATTTATATGTGTTTTCATAATAAGGGCCTATCTTAATAATTTTACTTTAATTACTCAATATAATTTTTTGAATATATAGTAAAATTTTTTATATGGTATATAAAAGCAATCAACTTCTTAGCAATTTTTTAATAGTCTTAAAAAATTTTTATTATAAACATTGGATTGAATTTTAAAGACTTCTTTAGTGTACTGCTTAAAACTGAAAGTGATACTGAGTGATACTGAAAAGTTTAAAACAGAAACAAATTGTGATGTGTAAAACTACTGAGATACACTCTCATTTAAACTCATGTCACCATTGTTAGATTTATGCGCCAAAACCCTGAGATATTTCTGTTTCAGATACACACTATACCTCTAATATCCTTCCCAGAGGATATACATGTTATAATACACGTACTAAAATCTATATATATTCGTAGAAATTAATATTTTGTATTGGAGTAGGTTTCATTATTACTTAGAAGGTTAATTATTTTAACGTTAGTCTTGTTATGCGATGCCAAACCAACAATAACATTATTGTTGTTCGAAAATTTTTGATTAATTTTATTTTTTGATTTCAATATCATTCGTTATACTCATATTTAATAATATTTCGTGCGAATAGTTTAATATTGTAAAACAGTGAATCATTATAACAAGATAGTGCAAAGTTTTTTTTTTAATTCTCAAATATAGATCTGATATAATATACATCATTACCAGTAAAATGAATGTAGTGTAGTACTGATTATTCCATTGAACATAATACGCCTTCACCCGTATGGTAAAAAGACGAATTCTTATTATAAAAGGAAAATTTTATACCTTTTAATATCAGAATATTCTTTACAAACAAAACATAAAAAATTTATTTGATTTTAGGTGTATTTGACATTCAGTCGACATTAAACGAAATTCTCATAATTACACTCTAGTTCGAAACACACACTTTTCTACATATTTGCTAAACGGGATATAAACTGAATCCTTAAAGCATTAAATACAATAAAATAAATTTAGAAGACAATCTTTCTGATGGATGTCTAACCAACTTTTAAAATATTTGCAGTAATACAGAGTACACAGCCTAATACCAAAATTGTTTAATTATAATTTTATAATTAATATCATACTAATTATTAAAATACCGGCAGAGTCTTTTCACCTCTATTGTTCAAGAAAATTAAGTATACCAAAAAAAACTTGGATTATATTAAAAGTCTATATTTAAAGAATTATAAAATACAGTGATGTTCGATCAGTATTATTTTATTCATTTTTGGAAGGTTCACTTATTTGTTAATATATATGTTAATAACCTTAAGATCAATTATCGACTTTAATTAAAATTTTTTGTGGTCCTGAAAAGGACCGTTGGAGTTAATGTTGATTGTTCAATACAAAGGAATTTACTTGGAACTGGTATACTTAGTGACAGCTTTAGTACCTTCACTAACTGCGTGCTTAGCCAATTCACCAGGAAGTAAAAGGCGAACTGCAGTTTGAATTTCCCGACTAGTAATTGTGGATCGTTTGTTATAGTGGGCCAAACGTGAAGCTTCAGCAGCAATGCGCTCGAATATATCATTCACAAAGCTGTTCATGATGCTCATAGCCTTGGATGAAATACCAGTATCAGGATGAACTTGCTTTAATACTTTATAAATGTAAATAGCATAACTTTCCTTCCTCCTGCGCTTCTTCTTCTTATCGTTCTTAGTTATATTCTTCTGAGCCTTTCCGTCCTTCTTGACCGCTTTTCCGCTAGTTTTTGGTGGCATGATTTCAAATGTGAATTTTCAAATTTTCAATTTTATGAATTTTCAAATTTGAACTACCCTCACTCAGAATTTATGTATTTTTAAAACAGAAATTTCAAGAAATTCTCTCTTCACATTAGGGGATGAAAAAGGTATAAATTCTTGGTGTTTGCCTGTTTTCAACTCAGATCACGTAGATCAACTTAACAATCAAATACTATTGAAACATGTCTGGTCGTGGTAAAGGAGGTAAAGTTAAGGGCAAGGCAAAGTCTCGCTCAAATCGTGCTGGATTACAATTTCCAGTTGGTCGTATTCATCGATTGCTGCGAAAAGGCAATTATGCTGAACGCGTTGGTGCCGGCGCTCCCGTCTACTTAGCTGCTGTTATGGAATATTTGGCAGCTGAAGTTCTTGAATTGGCTGGCAATGCAGCACGCGATAATAAGAAGACAAGAATCATACCCCGTCATTTACAATTGGCCATCCGTAATGATGAAGAATTAAACAAATTGTTGTCTGGTGTCACAATCGCACAAGGTGGTGTATTACCAAACATCCAAGCTGTCCTTTTGCCTAAGAAAACAGAAAAGAAGGCTTAAACTATATCTTACAACACTATTTCTTTCGAAATTTTCGAACAACAACCGTCCTTTTCAGGACGATCAATTTATTTGATTAAAGAAAACATACTTCATTTCAAACAATTATTATTTATACAAATATTTCTTTGAAAAACGTAACCCATAAAAATGGTTAAAATTGGTTTACAGAAACCATTTTCAAAATAATGTCAAATGAAATATGATTTGGAATCAAGCACCTCCATCTTCCGGCAATCAGAGCAATTCTACTCCATACGTATTAATTCGGTTACTTCCTACACGTACGTGTAAAACATTCTAATTTTAACATTAGCTCTATTTGAGCAATTTGTGGATTAATTATGTTTTAATATCACATTTACGTTTGAAATAAACAATTCATTATAATCATTATTTTCGGTATATACGTATCCTAATTTATTTTAACTAGTTATATATAGTTTGTATATAGTATAAAATGCAATTAAACAATTCTATATATGGTACAAAAACATGTAATTATATTCAAGACTCATCGCATTAAGTAATAAGTACTCATCTCAGAACAATATTTCTGATATATTACTAAACTGAACAGATTTAGTAAAGAATTATAAAACATTCACATTCACATTGCTTCTTTTAATCGCTTTATGACAATATAACTAACAAAGAAAAGGTTGTATGTAATTCTATTAAATTCATCTTAAATATAGATTTTATTTCATATATTTTGGCGCGTAAATGCAAATAAGAAAATTACTCACGTTCCATCTTCATTCCATTTCGGCTTATAGTTTCTTACTCAATTTCACTCACACTCATGCTCATTCGGCTTGGAAGTATATGTATGGATCTTGAGTGTCCTTGGTATGCGTGTGAACTGTACTGACAATTTTGTCAGTTACTTTTTTTTTAAATAAAAAAATGAATGGTATAACAATGCAAGCCTTAAGTATTTTAGTTCACATACCAGTAGGTAGAAATTTTCCCGCCATAATTTTATCTGCCACCAAACGAATCAATAAGATATGGTATATAATTTTAAAAGCATGTGTGTTATTAAAAAAATGTCTTTCTTTCTTTGAAACTTATATCCTGGGTGGTAGGAAACTGATATATTCTAAACAGAAGGAGAATACATAAAACAATAAAATACTCTTAGTTTCTAAATTCTTTTACAATTTAATTCAATTGAGGAACAGATTTAAAAATTAAGTGATTGGGGTATAAATAGTATTTCATTATGAGATATCGGTTTTCAATGTTGTTTCATGCTAAATGTTGTCATGCTAAATCGTATTGAGAATGACAGTACAGAAAAAAAATTTTAAACAATTATTTGTATAATTATTATGATTATTGAAACTAAAAATTAACCGTTATTTAAATACGAAGACATAAAAGAAATAATTATAAAGAAATATTACATACAACTTTGTTATATTTACTTCTATATTTATTTTTATTGAGATATATCTATTTAATAAATAATTGGTGAATTCTTAGATATTTCTACGTCTAAAACTAGTTTGATTAAAAGAATAATTTTGAATACCTACATTAAAACATGTTTCTTGAAAATCTAACTAAGAAAAATTTCTAAAGTTTCTTACTTATGTACATTCAACTTCAATTAATTTTTGTCTTAAAATCTTAATATTTGAAGTCGATAAAAATATTTGTATAAATTACAGTCAAGTATGTGTTCAAATGAATTATTTATCTCAAAAAATGAAAATATTCGGGTCCTGAAAAGGACCATTGGGCAATATAGTGTTAATAGTATTGCATTTTTAAACTAATATTATTTATTTAACCTCCGAAACCGTAGAGGGTGCGACCTTGTCTCTTCAAAGCATATACAACATCCATGGCTGTAACAGTCTTCCTTTTGGCATGTTCTGTATATGTAACTGCATCACGGATCACATTTTCCAGAAATACCTTCAATACACCACGAGTTTCTTCGTAAATCAAACCAGAAATACGCTTAACTCCACCACGGCGAGCCAAACGTCTTATAGCTGGTTTTGTGATACCTTGGATGTTATCACGAAGAACTTTGCGATGACGCTTAGCACCACCTTTTCCCAAACCTTTACCACCTTTACCACGACCAGTCATTTTGAGTTTATAATTTTAGTACAGATAATACTTGTCTATTCAGACTTAAACAGTAAATAAATTCCACACTAGATATGCACAGTATTTATAGAAAAAATGAACAATACAAAAGATATGAGTGACAATGCTTAAACACAACAAATTACTCAAAAATGGCACTCAAATAATTGAGGGTAGAAATAAACAATGTAAAGGATATTAAGGATATAATGAACAATGACTGTTTGAACATGTGAACAGTTGAGATGGATCATAAGAGTTTGTTTTGAAATTTACTCTCTCAACATTTATTCGTTAAATTAAATTTTATTTAACAATTTGTTTAATTATGGCTCGTACAAAGCAAACTGCTCGTAAATCGACTGGTGGTAAGGCACCACGTAAACAATTGGCTACTAAGGCCGCACGCAAAAGTGCGCCCGCAACTGGCGGTGTAAAAAAACCACATCGTTATCGTCCGGGAACTGTAGCTTTGCGTGAAATTCGTCGCTATCAAAAGAGTACAGAACTCTTAATTCGCAAACTGCCATTCCAGCGTTTAGTCCGTGAAATTGCACAGGATTTCAAAACTGATTTACGTTTCCAGAGTTCTGCTGTAATGGCTCTCCAAGAAGCTAGCGAAGCATACTTAGTTGGGCTTTTTGAAGATACTAACTTATGCGCTATTCATGCTAAACGCGTAACCATTATGCCAAAAGATATTCAATTGGCGAGACGTATTCGTGGAGAACGTGCTTAAGAAGCAATTTCATACTATTTAATAAACATCGGTCCTTTTCAGGACCAAAATTAATTAAAGAAAAGAGATAGTTAAACATCATATTCAAATTAATAATACTCAGATAAAATGAATATATAAAGATAATTGATTCTCTCATTCTTCTTTGTAACTATAATTTTTGATGATGATCAGCATATAACGCTATATATAAACTTCACACTTATAGCAATTATTGTTGAAGTTATTAGTTTTTTAGCTTTGTTGCTTGTTAAAATTATCAACTTATGATAACAATACTTTTAATAAAAAGTGAAGAACATTCCAAAGTATATAAATTTTGGTATTATAATACAGAAATGTTAATATCAGCATAACTATACTGCCTCCCAATATTCTGCATACCGAGATCTTCCCATTGTGCTTACTTTCCAGTTCATTCAGAGGGATCACTCTCCTGACCCAACTCGTTGCTCAATCGAGAATATAGTAACTCGCTTCACGGAGTATATTCTTAAAGAGTTCAAAACTTTTGTGAATAGATATAATCGATCATAATTTACGTATACCTACTACGTTCTCTAATGTGATTTCACTCGGAAGTCTTTCACAATTTAATAACTGAGATCTCCTCAAGATTTTCTTTAGTGTACCAAGTATATGGCTTTAAAAATTTCTGCGAATAATAATTGACTATTTAATATTTATAATATAGTATATATAAGACGACGGAAATGTGAGAACGAAAGCAGCGTATACAAGCTCGAGAAAGTACTTTGACAGTTTAATGAGTTAAAGAAATAAATGTCCAGGCTAACAAATAGAATGGAGTAAAGGTGCTAAAATAATGCAAAAGTTGAAGTGGGTAATTCATACTGCAATATTTTTCATATTCTAGTTTCTATTGTTAAGTATGGTATACAGTAGAGTCTAGAATATGCCAGTTAATAGAAGAACTAAATGCCTGAAAGGGAAAGTTCAAAAGATTTAAAATTTAATTTATGCCAAAGATCAGTGAATATATTTAAAACTTAATTATATATGGTATTTTTAACACATAAATGAAATATTTTTATAATTTTTTGTTACATACTTTAGGTGAAACATGGCATTTGTGTATTTATTGGAACCTTATACGTATATTATTATCAGTTAGTTATATTCACTTATTTTTTCTGATTATTCAAAATATATATGCTCGAAAATCAGTATTATTTTATTCATTTCTAAAATGTTCATTTATTTGTGAAGTGTATGTTAGTAATTTTAAGATCAATTATCGACTTTAATTAAATATTTTTGTGGTCCTGAAAAGGACCGTTGGAGTTAATGTTGATTGTTCAATACAAAAAAATTTACTTGGAACTGGTATACTTAGTGACAGCTTTAGTACCTTCACTAACTGCGTGCTTAGCCAATTCACCAGGAAGTAAAAGGCGAACTGCAGTTTGAATTTCCCGACTAGTAATTGTGGATCGTTTGTTATAGTGGGCCAAACGTGAAGCTTCAGCAGCAATGCGTTCGAATATATCATTCACAAAGCTGTTCATGATGCTCATAGCCTTGGATGAAATACCAGTATCAGGATGAACTTGCTTCAATACTTTATAAATGTAAATAGCATAACTTTCCTTCCTCCTGCGCTTCTTCTTCTTATCGTTCTTAGTTATATTCTTCTGAGCCTTTCCGTCCTTCTTGACCGCTTTTCCGCTAGTTTTTGGTGGCATGATTTCAAATGTGAAGTTTCAAATTTTCAATTTTATGAATTTTCAAATTTAAACTACCCTCACTCAGAATTTATGTATTTTTAAAACAGAAATTTCAAGAAATTCTCTCTTCACATTAGGGGATGAAAAAGGTATAAATTCTTGGTGTTTGCCTGTTTTCAACTCAGATCACGTAGATCAACTTAACAATCAAATACTATTGAAACATGTCTGGTCGTGGTAAAGGAGGTAAAGTTAAGGGCAAGGCAAAGTCTCGCTCAAATCGTGCTGGATTACAATTTCCAGTTGGTCGCATTCATCGATTGCTGCGAAAAGGCAATTATGCTGAACGCGTTGGTGCCGGCGCTCCCGTCTACTTAGCTGCTGTTATGGAATATTTGGCAGCTGAAGTTCTTGAATTGGCTGGCAATGCAGCACGCGATAATAAGAAGACAAGAATCATACCCCGTCATTTACAATTGGCCATCCGTAATGATGAAGAATTAAACAAATTGTTGTCTGGTGTTACAATCGCACAAGGTGGTGTATTACCAAACATCCAAGCTGTACTTTTGCCTAAGAAAACAGAAAAGAAGGCTTAAACTATATCTTACAACACTATTTCTTTCGAAATTTTCGAACAACAACCGTCCTTTTCAGGACGATCAATTTATTTGATTAAAGAAAACATACTTCATTTCAAACAATTATTATTTATACAAATATTTCTTTGAAAAACGTAACCCATAAAAATGGTTAAAATTGGTTTACAGAAACCATTTCCAAAATAATGTCAAATGAAATATGATTTGGAATCAAGCACCTTCATCTTCCGGCAATCAGAGCAATTCTACTCCATACGTATTAATTCGGTTACTTCCTACACGTACGTGTAAAACATTCTAATTTTAACATTAGCTCTATTTGAGCAATTTGTGGATTAATTATGTTTTAATATCACATTTACGTTTGAAATAAACAATTCATTATAATCATTATTTTCGGTATATACGTATCCTAATTTATTTTAACTAGTTATATATAGTTTGTATATAGTATAAAATGCAATTAAACAATTCTATATATGGTACAAAAACATGTAATTATATTCAAGACTCATCGCATTAAGTAATAAGTACTCATCTCAGAACAATATTTCTGATATATTACTAAACTGAACAGATTTAGTAAAGAATTATAAAACATTCACATTCACATTGCTTCTTTTAATCGCTTTATGACAATATAACTAACAAAGAAAAGGTTGTATGTAATTCTATTAAATTCATCTTAAATATAGATTTTATTTCATATATTTTGGCGCGTAAATGCAAATAAGAAAATTACTCACGTTCCATCTTCATTCCATTTCGGCTTATAGTTTCTTACTCAATTTCACTCACACTCATGCTCATTCGGCTTGGAAGTATATGTATGGATCTTGAGTGTCCTTGGTATGCGTGTGAACTGTACTGACAATTTTGTCAGTTACTTTTTTTTTAAATAAAAAAATGAATGGTATAACAATGCAAGCCTTAAGTATTTTAGTTCACATACCAGTAGGTAGAAATTTTCCCGCCATAATTTTATCTGCCACCAAACGAATCAATAAGATATGGTATATAATTTTAAAAGCATGTGTGTTATTAAAAAAATGTCTTTCTTTCTTTGAAACTTATATCCTGGGTGGTAGGAAACTGATATATTCTAAACAGAAGGAGAATACATAAAACAATAAAATACTCTTAGTTTCTAAATTCTTTTACAATTTAATTCAATTGAGGAACAGATTTAAAAATTAAGTGATTGGGGTATAAATAGTATTTCATTATGAGATATCGGTTTTCAATGTTGTTTCATGCTAAATGTTGTCATGCTAAATCGTATTGAGAATGACAGTACAGAAAAAAAAATTTTAAACAATTATTTGTATAATTATTATGATTATTGAAACTAAAAATTAACCGTTATTTAAATACGAAGACATAAAAGAAATAATTATAAGGAAATATTACATACAACTTTGTTATATTTACTTCTATATTTATTTTTATTGAGATATATCTATTTAATAAATAATTGGTGAATTCTTAGATATTTCTACGTCTAAAACTAGTTTGATTAAAAGAATAATTTTGAATACCTACATTAAAACATGTTTCTTGAAAATCTAACTAAGAAAAATTTCTAAAGTTTCTTACTTACATTCAACTTCAATTAATTTTTGTCTTAAAATCTTAATATTTGAAGTCGATAAAAATATTTGTATAAATTACAGTCAAGTATGTGTTCAAATGAATTATTTATCTCAAAAAATGAAAATATTCGGGTCCTGAAAAGGACCATTGGGCAATATAGTGTTAATAGTATTGCATTTTTAAACTAATATTATTTATTTAACCTCCGAAACCGTAGAGGGTGCGACCTTGTCTCTTCAAAGCATATACAACATCCATGGCTGTAACAGTCTTCCTTTTGGCATGTTCTGTATATGTAACTGCATCACGGATCACATTTTCCAGAAATACCTTCAATACACCACGAGTTTCTTCGTAAATCAAACCAGAAATACGCTTAACTCCACCACGGCGAGCCAAACGTCTTATAGCTGGTTTCGTGATACCTTGGATGTTATCACGAAGAACTTTGCGATGACGCTTAGCACCACCTTTTCCCAAACCTTTACCACCTTTACCACGACCAGTCATTTTGAGGTTATAATTTTAGTACAGATAATACTTGTCTATTCAGACTTAAACAGTAAATAAATTCCACACTAGATATGCACAGTATTTATAGAAAAAATGAACAATACAAAAGATATGAGTGACAATGCTTAAACACAACAAATTACTCAAAAATGGCACTCAAATAATTGAGGGTAGAAATAAACAATGTAAAGGATATTAAGGATATAATGAACAATGACTGTTTGAACATGTGAACAGTTGAGATGGATCATAAGAGTTTGTTTTGAAATTTACTCTCTCAACATTTATTCGTTAAATTAAATTTTATTTAACAATTTGTTTAATTATGGCTCGTACAAAGCAAACTGCTCGTAAATCGACTGGTGGTAAGGCACCACGTAAACAATTGGCTACTAAGGCCGCACGCAAAAGTGCGCCCGCAACTGGCGGTGTAAAAAAACCACATCGTTATCGTCCGGGAACTGTAGCTTTGCGTGAAATTCGTCGCTATCAAAAGAGTACAGAACTCTTAATTCGCAAACTGCCATTCCAGCGTTTAGTCCGTGAAATTGCACAGGATTTCAAAACTGATTTACGTTTCCAGAGTTCTGCTGTAATGGCTCTCCAAG